TTTCTCTGGCATAGGGATGGACAGGGAACCCAGTCACTACCTTCCTCCCAGGGGAGCTCCTTATCAGGTGTACCCTATTGTGAGGTAATCAGTGTTATATTGGTGGAGTCAGCTCCCTCCCAGGGGTTAGCTACAACAAGAACACAACTATGGCTAAAGAGTAATGCTACTAATCACTTTATCTACCTCCTACTATGAAGAGTTCCACCGATTAGAATCAGCAGCAGGTGATGATACTAGCATGTTGAGGTTTGAGATTCAGTGTTACTGCCTTGTCAACTAGCCTGGTATAGTAATACAGTGTTACTGCCTTGTCAACTAGCCTGGTATAGTAATACAGTGTTACTGTCTTGTCAACTAGCCTGGTATAGTAATACAGTGTTACTGTCTTGTCAACTAGCCTGGTATAGTAATACAGTGTTACTGTCTTGTCACCTAGCCTGGTATAGTAATACAGTGTTACTGCCTTGTCACCTAGCCTGGTATAGTAATACAGTGTTACTGCCTTGTCAACTAGCCTGGTATAGTAATACAGTGTTACTGCCTTGTCAACTAGCCTGGTATAGTAATACAGTGTTACTGTCTTGTCACCTAGCCTGGTATAGTAATACAGTGTTACTGCCTTGTCAACTAGCCTGGTATAGTAATACAGTGTTACTGCCTTGTCACCTAACCTGGTATAGTAATACAGTGTTACTGCCTTGTCAACTAGCCTGGTATAGTAATACAGTGTTACTGCCTTGTCATCTAACCTGGTATAGTAATACAGTGTTACTGCCTTGTCAACTAGCCTGGTATAGTAATACAGTGTTACTGCCTTGTCAACTAGCCTGGTATAGTAATACAGAGTTACTGCCTTGTCAACTAGCCTGGTATAGTAATACAGTGTTACTGCCTTGTCAACTAGCCTGGTATAGTAATACAGTGTTACTGCCTTGTCAACTAGCCTGGTATAGTAATACAGTGTTACTGTCTTGTCAACTAGCCTGGTATAGTAATACAGTGTTACTGCCTTGTCACCTAGCCTGGTATAGTAATACAGTGTTACTGCCTTGTCACCTAGCCTGGTATAGTAATACAGTGTTACTGCCTTGTCAACTAGCCTGGTATAGTAATACAGTGTTACTGCCTTGTCACCTAACCTGGTATATTAATACAGTGTTACTGCCTTGTCAACTAGCCTGGTATAGTAATACAGTGTTACTGCCTTGTCAACTAGCCTGGTATAGTAATACAGTGTTACTGCCTTGTCACCTAGCCTGGTATAGTAATACAGTGTTACTGCCTTGTCAACTAGCCTGGTATAGTAATACAGTGTTACTGCCTTGTCAACTAGCCTGGTATAGTAATACAGTGTTACTGCCTTGTCACCTAGCCTGGTATAGTAATACAGTGTTACTGCCTTGTCAACTAGCCTGGTATAGTAATACAGTGTTACTGCCTTGTCACCTAACCTGGTATATAAATACAGTGTTACTGCCTTGTCAACTAGCCTGGTATAGTAATACAGTGTTACTGCCTTGTCACCTAGCCTGGTATAGTAATACAGTGTTACTGCCTTGTCACCTAGCCTGGTATAGTAATACAGTGTTACTGCCTTGTCACCTAGCCTGGTATAGTAATACAGTGTTGGTGCTTTGTCACCTAGCCTGGTGAAGTAGTCTGGTATAATTCATTGTAAGTGAAATCATGAAAATAACAAATTCAAACTGAAGACTTGTCTTCATGTGTGTTATTTCTATGTGTAAATAGTAATTTGAGAAATTTTATTCAAGTGATTTCTTTGTGAATCATGTCGTGTCCACATCTACTGATGTCAGATGGTAAATATGTTGCATGCAAAATCAAATAACAACTCTTTCTGTGGTCATGGAGACTCATTATTGTGGTGTGTCAGTGAAATTTGGCCTGTCCGGTAACACTAACTTCCTGCGCTGGACAGCAAGGTGGAAGATTTCTGTCTGCTCTGTATATTTAATGACCCTTGCAGTAGTGTTGTACTGGCAAGTATGTTAAATACTTAGTAGTGCACCATGCCTCTTGATTATGTTTGAGAGAAGGGAGTGTAAGTTTGATTATTCTGATCAAATGTCCCTGAACTTTAAATGTCTGCAGGCTACAGAAACAGTATATTGAACAGAGGTTTGATAGATGTTTCAGCAGGTCATCATCACAATAAGTTCATGATGCTTGACAAAGTAAAATGTGAATACAAGTAAAAAAAAGTTGGACAATGGAAGCAAAAAAAAATATTGAAAAAAGATTCCAAGAATTCTTATATTTTCTCCTACCTACCCAGGTATATGACAAAGAAATCCTCACTTTATGGGGCAGTACTCTCAACTGATACCTGAGTCTCTCTACAAATGTGAAAGTATTTTACAACTGTTTCCCAGGGAAATTGTTAGAAAAATCGTAACAAGCCTGTCAACAGTCACAACTCTTCTGATATTTCAACCTCAGGTAAAAATCAAAGATGTGTCCATAGATGCTCAATACAGGTACATGGAGGTTTGTGTTTCTCATAAAGCTGAGAGACAGACTGGTCTGTGCTATTAATCTTGGTTGTGTCCATGGGTAATATACTTTACCCTAATTGCTGTGGACAGCATGCAAGAGGCCTCCCACATGTTGTTCAGTGGGGTAGCTGTCAGCTATCGAAAGAAGACCCTGCCTCAAAAATGACCCTGGCAGGTGATATTCTAAATTGTATTAACAAGAACTTTATTAAGACCAAGTGTTAACATCTTTTCATGGTATTGTCAGGTGTTGTTGTCTTTATTAGTTAAATAATTAAAACAATGGTTTCCAGATTCTGTGAGAAGTTTTTCATCCTTATCCATACACGAAGGATCCATTAAATGTTTATTGTGTTGTTCCATTAAAGTCTTTGTAATGTTATACAACAGAGAACTATAACACCCTCATGGTGACAAAAATGCAGATGGAATGGTTATAAAGTAATTCTGTTTTAATTTTTTTGAGAACTTTAACATAAAGGTCAGAAATACGTTGATCATTGGGGTATAATTGAAGAAGGCACCAAGTAAACAGAGCAAATATTAACATTATAAACAGAAAACAAGTGTTGGATGCTACCATCCATAGACTCCTTAATAACTACTGACACACTTGACAGGCCACCTAGTCTTGACTTGTGGACTACTGTGACCTTATATCAAGTGACCTTGGGTACAGCTGCCATGGTTTGGTGGTAATAGATACAGGGCTAGTTACTTACCTCTAACTACCTCACTTATAGCCATGCAACATGACCTCATGGTCTCCAATCATTGGTCTGTCCACCCCGACATTTTACTTAAATACCTTGGTGACAAATCAGAGGCAATTTGTTGTGTTATTGTGACATTTATCCCCAAGTGTGGTTTACGTTTCTTAAAAGTCAAAGTTTCAGTGTCAACTATTTCAATATTCATATCCCAAATATTTGAGTGCCAATTGAATTCATCTGAATTAGTGATGTATGTCATGGATGCCTGTGTTGTTGAATTTTAAATACATCTTTGTCGATTATGTATTTATAGTATTAGTCAACTCTGTCAAATGTTTGTTGCTACGTTTATCAACTTCCTGTCAGAAAAAGTGTCAACAGAAATATAATGGGGAGTCAACATAGACCATTACAATGTCATGGCCCATAATGTGAAATCATTTTCCAGCCACCTGCACAGTAGCACCAATATTTGTCAAAATGCTTAAGATACACAATTAACCCTGCCCTATGATAAGTCATATCTAAATGAAAAGCTCTTAACTACCCTAATAAAACTATAAAACAGCGTTTAAAACTGAACAATTTGTGTTGAATGTTTTGCTGCTTAATGGTTAGGCACATCGCAGCAGGATTTAGATCCAGAATTCACCATAATATTCATCTGTTAATCAATAGTGCAATATTTATTATGATATACTTTGGTATCACAATGTGGTATAAAATCATGATTCCACATTTAAAGTAGGATGTGCCCAATGGCAATGGGTATTTTTTTATGAATATTTAATTCATTTAATCTTTTTTAACTCTGTAAAAAATCCACTTCTGTTGCAATACATAAGTATTGACTCCTTTTGAAATGGTTCAGGGAAGCTGTCAAAAGTATATAGATGGTTAAAGATACTGCGGTATTTAACCTTCGAATAGAGATAAAAGTACACCATTTTCTTCACTTGATTTGTAAAACCCAAATTTTAATTAGTATGAAACTTTTACAGAGTATCTTTATGTGACAACTTAAGGCATTGCTGCCTGTCTTATGAACGGAATCCTGGTAAATTCCAATGGAGTGGTTTCCCTGCTGGTGAACTTGAGTCTCAAAGCAGTAAAAAAAAGATAATATTTTTAAACCTCAGGAACAGGAAAGCTGAGAACCTTTAAAGCTGTCTTACAAGGGTATTTGATTTTTGTAGATATTGGAACTTCAAAATATTTCAGGTTTTTATCAGAAATGATGGAGGAGGCATATTTAATGATATTTGATGAGAAATAAAAACGCAAAGTAAAAAAAATTACCTAATTCATAGGCAGCATGGAGCTACTGTTATGTGTAAAAAACATGTTTTATCAAGACAAGAGTGTTTCTTGAATCTTTATAAATATATTAAGCATGTACACTATTGTCTGTTCAGTGTCACCGGCTGGAGTATTTATATGCAGGTTTATATATATCTGAAGGGTTTTTATTCAACTCTGAGAGAACAAGTTTATCAGATTCCATAAGGCAAAAAACAAATATCTGTCTAGTTTCATTTTTGAATAGTTTATCTTCTTTAAACATTTTGAATGTGTGGTGTTTTCTTCATCCAGTTCCCCAAAAAGTTGGAAGAATTAATCTGTGATGTTGATGTGTAGTCTAGGATTTGTGTTCCTTTGGGGGCTGTGCGACCGCTCCCATTCATCCATCCACTGTCTGCTAGGGAACCAAAATCTGCAGGCAGATATGTAATTTATAGTTGTGTGTTGCTATCAGAAATATAAGGTCTATACCTAGATCTGTTTTATTAGGGTGACATCATGATAACAATATACTGGTTTTATTGACTTTATTTGGTGAGCAGAGATCTACATGTCATTAATATGGCTGGGCCACATCACCATTTATTTATTGAGGGTGTGTATTTGGTTGTTTTGAAACCAGTATTTTTAATAAGCATATTTCCCAGTCATTGTTAACAAAAACATTAAGTGTATTGGCAATAATGATTGTTTTTAAAGCTACACTTTCTCTATTGGTCTGACACTACTTCACTCCCACTTAAAATGTCAACAAGATCAACAGGATTGCTATGTTGGTATCAGCACTGACAAGTTACAGGCAGTTAAACCACAAACACTTGATTCCTGCATCCATCCAAACAAATGAGCTTAATATATATTCCTGACCCCTGTCTCCGTAGCTTTACTCACAACCTGTATAATGTTTCTTCTCAACAGATCAGGAGTCCTTCCTACAAAAACAAGGGAGAGGCCACTGACAGGAACACTTCAGTACATCTTCAAATATAATTTGATAATTTAAAATTTAATACTTCATACAGGTTTATAAAGCCATTTTCATATCAAGATAATTGAAGCCTCTGTGGAGTGTCCATGCAATTTCAATCTTGGTTATTGATAATTGGATACTGCACACATATCTATAATCTTCTTTTGAAAGTTTTATTGGTCAAAATTAGATTTTGACGTCATAGGTATTATTCACTCTCCAAAATCAAGAACAAATCTTTAGTGTAGGCATGATATTAAATTAGTGTTGTAAAGTATGTATCAACCTAGTGATACTGTTGTTATTGGAGCATTGATATTCCCTTCCTTACTGTTTAATCAAAATGAATGACTTCCTGGAGTCCTGTCTTACAGTCAGTATAAATAATAGATTGAATATGTATAGAATTAATATGTGTCATCAGTATCAACAATGAATGTGTTAAGATATATTTGTGAAAATTTTCTGAGTATCTTAAAGATTAAGCAGCACAGAACACAAATTGTCTAAAAGTGACATATTAGGCCTTAAATAGATACACTTAATCTAGAAAATATGTGTCGGATTGTCTGAAATGAGGTGATGTTCTCATATTCTTTTGGCATTTAGGACTGTGTATGTAAGAAAGGGATGGCACATGACAGATTGGGGAGGAATGCTTATATACAGGACAGGGGTTAAATATTTCTAGAAGATCAAGAGACCTCTGATGGAATGAAGAGTAGAGGTAGTATTGGCAGGAGTTAAAGACCCCCACAAGATGGAGGACACTCCTGATGAATTCAGGACTAGGCAGGGTGATTAACGAGTGTGAAATAGAGTAACCATTTGTGACTTAGTAAAGGTGGCACAGGAACTCAAATGAGGATCTGAATGTGTCAGTAAGGAATGAGGGATAGCTTGAAAGATGGAGAATACAAGGTAGGGTATAAACAAGGGAGGGGGAGAACGGTGATGTTATATAGGTGGAAAGTTTATTGTGTAGTAAGGAGGCTTGGTAATGGAAGTGCTATGGTAAATGGATGTGACAATCAGAAAGGTTACACCAGGAACATCATAAATAAGTGTTGATAGTTGTGAGTGATCACACATTTTTGGTGTCTGTGTGTATATAGATTGTAGCTAGGGTCTGTAATCAGCTCCAAAACCACCTACACTCCCCCTTTCTTTCGTCTCCTCTCCTCCAACTCTCAGTCTGTCCAATTTCCCCACTTTCCTGCACAATATCTCCTCTCCCTTACTTTCCAACAGTCTCTCCTCCTACTCTTCAACAGTCTCTCCCCTTTCCACACTTATTGACAGACAGTTTCTAAAATTTCTCCATTCTTCTACGCAGTCCCCTCCCTCCCCCTCCCCCAACAGTCTCTCTTCCACCTTCCACAATCTCTCCCCACTCACCACTCAGTGGCAGTCTCTCTCCTATTCCTTCACTTTCCAATACCCACTCACCTCCCCCACTTCCTCAGTCTCTATTTACTTGCCCCACTCTCCTATATTCTCTCCTCTCTTCCGCTCTCCTAAACTCTCTTCCATCCCCTGCCCACTTACAGTCTCTATCCCCCATCTTCTGCTCTGCCACACAGTCTCTCCCCTTCCTCTCTTTCCAAAAGTCTCTTCCATCCCCTACCCTATTACAATCTGTTTCTTTCTCATTTTATTACTTAAACAGTCTCTATCTTCCACCTTCTACTCTCCTACGTTTTCTCCCCTCCCTGTCTTCCTATAGTTTCCTCTTCTAACAGTCTCTTCCATCCCCCCACCCTATTACAATCTATCTCTTTCTCATCTTATTACTGCAACAGTCTCTCTCTTCCCCTACTCTCCTACTGTATACAGTCTCTCTTCCTCCTATTACTACTCTCAATATTATTTCCTCTTTTCCTATCCTTCTACATCTCCCACTCTCCAACAGTTTCTCCAATCCTCTACTGTATTGGAGTCTTTCATCCCCAACCCCACTTCCAGTAGTAAGTCTGCCTCTGATAATCTGTTCTTCATTCATAATAAATCTCTCATTACTGAAAACTTATGCCACCTGACAGTTTGTAATAAATGCTTCAACCTTGCTAACAATCTACTGTGTTATACATTAAAATCTCTGCTAAATACCATCAACATACGCTCTAATTGAAAATAAACCAGGATGTTATCTCTGTAATATAAATTATTTGTAAGACTGTTTTCTTCATGAATTGTCACATAAGAACAAAGTATGTGATTTTCAAATCAACCAATGTGGGTTTTTTGACTCAATGTTTTCCAAATGAAATAGACTATAAGAATGATATGATTTCTTAGAACACATAAGGTACTTTGCAGTTATTTATTAAAAGGTTAAATTTTTTTTAGCTTAACTGATCTGATTTAAATAAAATCTTAGAACCAAGATATTTAGCAGGTAGGTTCTTGGAATGAAGCCTGACATACTTTGGGAAAAGAAATTACCTTGATTAAAGGTCACAGAATTCATATATGTTAACACACTAAAACAACTTCTTCAGAATAAATGAAAACAGATAAGAAATATAGTTGACTGGTAGGTTTCTGGGATGATGCCCAACAAAGGATGCAAAATCAAAATAACTTTTATCTATATTCAAGGTCATAGTGGTTCATGTCATTAAAATCTTGAAATACTTCTTCCCATTAATCAAAAGTCTTAGAAGTATGATGTTTAGCTGATAGGTTACTGAGATGAAGCCTGACAAAGGTTGTGAAATTAAATTACCTTCACCCTTATTCAAGGTCACATATGATCAAATTTGTGAAAATCTTCAAATGGCTTCTTATTAACAAATGGTCAAGAATCCTGATATTTAGGTGGTACAGTGATCCTTGTTCAAGATCAAGGAGTCAAATCTGCTGAAACTTTCAAATGACTGCTGAGGATAAATCTAAAGGCCTACAGTCCATACGTCAGGTGGTAGGCTACTAAGATGAAGCCAGACAAAGTTTGGGAAGAAAAGAAATTACCTTGGCCCCTGCTCAAGGTCATATGGGTATTCTGCTAATCAACCAATTCTGATAGCAATGACATGAAATGGCAACCTGTTTGTGAAAAACATGGAGTGACGCAGACCCATTGAGCATCTTGTTTAGTAATAACTGTGAGTGATGATAAAAATATAACAAGAAAAGCTATCAAATTGAATGGGCGGAAATTTTCACTGTTCCAAATAAAAAAGCAAAAGTACAAAATATATTACAAAATGTGAAGAACATGTTAGCTATGATGCTTTTATGTTATATATTCGACATTGAATGACATCTATAACCTTACATGATTATATTATCAGCTTTTAATGTATTTTAAATTCTTTGGTTACATACCATGTCAGAATTTTTGATCACCTAGGTGTAATACTCAAGTTCAGTTTGGACCTATTTACACAACAAATCCATATCCATTTTATGAGTATTTGTGGAAATTTCTTATGATAAAATGTTAAAGTGTTCATTAAGTTGACTGCACTGAGAGCAGAAACTTTCCTCAAAGATTAGGTCCTCATCCATGGCTTAGATGTTTATCTGTTGTCAAAAAAAGATGATGCATCGGTACACTGAAAACTGAATATTATTTATGTTACAGAAAGTACATGTGTATTTTTTAAAGAAATACAAAACCAGAATACATCATGCTAAATGTTAGGATGAGGCACCAGTATCTAGTTCACATTACCAAAAGTTAGGTTCAACCACCAATATCTAGGCCACATTACCAAATGTTAGGATGAGGCACTAATATATCGGTCACATTACCAAATGTTAGGATGAGGCACCAATATGTAGGTCACATTACCAAATGTTAGGATGAAGCACCAATATGTAGGTCACATTACCAAATGTTAGGATGAAGCACCAATATATAGGTCACATTACCAAATGTTAGGATGAGGCACCAATATATCGGTCACATTACCAAATGTTAGGATGAGGCACCAATATGTAGGTCACATTACCAAATGTTAGGACCGACCACCAAGATATAGGTCACATTACCAAATGTTAGGATGAAGCACTAATATATCGGTCACATTACCAAATGTTAGGATGAGGCACCAATATATCGGTCACATTACCAAATGTTAGGATGAGGCACCAATATGTAGGTCACATTACCAAATGTTAGGACCGACCACCAAGATATAGGTCACATTACCAAATGTTATGATGAGGCTCCAATATATAGGTCACATTACCAAATGTTAGGATCAGGTACCAATATGTAGGTCACATTACCAAATGTTAGGATGAAGCACCAATATATAGGCCACATTACCAAATGTTAGGATGAGGCACCAATATATCGGTCACATTACCAAATGTTAGGATGAGGCACCAATATGTAGGTCACATTACCAAATGTTAGGACCGACCACCAAGATATAGGTCACATTACCAAATGTTAGGATGAAGCACTAATATATCGGTCACATTACCAAATGTTAGGATGAGGCACCAATATATCGGTCACATTACCAAATGTTAGGATGAGGCACCAATATGTAGGTCACATTACCAAATGTTAGGACCGACCACCAAGATATAGGTCACATTACCAAATGTTATGATGAGGCTCCAATATATAGGTCACATTACCAAATGTTAGGATCAGGTACCAATATGTAGGTCACATTACCAAATGTTAGGATGAAGCACCAATATATAGGCCACATTACCAAATGTTAGGATGAAGCACCAATATATAGGTCACATTACCAAATGTTAGGATGAGGCACCAATATATCGGTCACATTACCAAATGTTAGGATGAGGCACAAATATGTAGGTCACATTACCAAATGTTAGGACCGACCACCAAGATATAGGTCACATTACCAAATGTTAGGATGAAGCACCAATATATAGGTCACATTACCAAATGTTAGGATGAGGCACCAATATATCGGTCACATTACCAAATGTTAGGATGAGGCACCAATATGTAGGTCACATTACCAA